GAATTTCATGAGTAAGCCTGTTGTGTTTAGAATTAAAAAGATAGAAAACATTCCCGACAAGCCGATAAAAGTAGGTGTTACGATCGACAAGAAAAATCTGGTTATGGAACTGGATTCCGGAGCAGCAACGTCCGCGGTATCGGAAAAGTTCCATCAGAAGTTTCTGCGGTGCTACCAGCTGAGGAAAGCTAATCTAAAACTGGTAACCTACAACGGACAGCGTTTGAAAGTGCTAGGCTGCATTGAACCGGTAGTGACATACAATGGTGAACAGAAAAAAGTGAATTTCGCAGTTATCGGAGATGGAGGACCTCCGTTGTTAGGAAGAAACTTCATGCGCGAGTTCAAATTACAATTGTTACCTCTTAAGCGTATCAGTGAAGATCGTAGTGAACAGTTAGAACACGTTTTGAATCGGTTCAAGCATATGTTTTCCGGGAAGTTGGGTAAATATACAGGGGCAAAGATTGATTTAGAGGTACAAGTTGACGCAAAGCCAGTCTTTTGTAAACTAAGGCCAGTGCCATTAAGTTTGGAGCCAATGGTTGATCAAGAAATCGAAACGATGGAAACGAGTGGTGTAATAAGCAGGTGTGACTCATCAGTGTGGGCTACCCCAGTGGTACCCGTTCTCAAGGATGATGGAAATCGAATCCGGTTGTGCGGTGACTATAAAGTGACGTTGAAAAAAGTATTAAAAGATGTGCGCCATCCCTTACCACGGGTAGAAGAGGTAATGGGAAAATTGGCGGGGGCGAAATATTTTTCAAAATTGGATTTAAGCAGAGCATACAACCAGTTCGAACTATCCGACGACTCGAAAAAGCTTTGTGCCCTGTCGACGCACAAAGGCGTATTTTTAATGAACAGACTACCGTTCGGGGTAAAGCCTGCGTCGGGAATAGTTCAAAGGGAACTAGAGTCCCAGGAGTGGTCAATTTTCTCGATGATGTGTTGGTATCCGGTAGTTCGCGTGAAGAACATTTCTAGATAGAGCTGGAATTAGGGCGTAACAGCTTTTATAAACAATGACTTCTATCGATGATTTCTAGGAATTCATGGCACGCCCACGCAGTCCAACATAACCATCGAACAGGGAGAGTTTTTATCTACCCGATGAGGATGTTGGTTTGGATGGACGAGCCTTGAATTTCATGAAATCATCAAGAAAAGTCTTTGTTTACAAAAGCTGTTAGGCCCTAATTCCAGCTCTATCTAGATTTGTGTAGACTCGAGCAGGTGTTGACAATACTAGATAATTCTGGACTGACTTTGTGTAAAGAAAAGTGCAGCTTTATGAAAAGCAGGGTAAGCTATCTGGGCTTCGAAATCTCTGGTAGTGGAATAGAAAAAACCAAGGACAGAATTCGTGCTATAGAAGAAGCCAAACCCCCTAGTAGTGTATCGGAAATACGCGCCTTCGCTGGAATGGTGAATTACTACAGCAGGTTTGTGAAAGGTTTAGCAACATTGATGTCACCGCTGTATCAGTTGCTGAAGAAGAATTGTAAGTTTGAGTGGACCAATCAGTGCCAAGAAGCATTTGAGAAAGTTAAGGCAGAAATTTGCAAGGACATAACCCTCACTCATTTTGATCCAGATAAGGAAATAGTGTTAATTTGTGACGCGTCAAAGGACGGAATTTCTGCAGTTTTGGCACACAGAATCGATGGTCTCGATAGACCAATAGCTTTTGCCTCAAGAATTTTGAGTGGAGCTGAAAAAGCTTATAGTGTGTCACACAAAGAAGGACTGGCTATTATGTACGGCTTGAACAAATATTACTTCTATTTGATGGGAAATCGATTCACAATTAAAACGGATCATAATCCGTTGGTATCTATCTTGGGACCACAGAAGGGTATTCCGGTGATGGCAGCAGGGCGGGTGCAACGCTGGTCCAACTTCATTTCCGTATTTGATTACAAGTTAGAGTACGTGAAATCGGGAGACAACATAGCTGATTATCCATCAAGAGCTGCTGTTGAATCATGGGAATTATGGAAGGAAGATGGTTCATACCTGAATTTCATGAGTTCACAAGAACCGAATTTGGTGGACAGAGCTGCGCTTAAGGTGGCTACGGACGAAGACATAGTGCTACGAAAGCTTCGAGAATGCATACTGGATGGAAATAAAGGCATGTGGTCTGAGCTTATGGACTTCAAAAACGTCAAGGAAGAATTGTCAGTGGAAGACGGCGTGATCATGCGAGGTTATCGAGCTGTAATACCGACGAAATTGCGCAGCCAACTGTTAAAAGTACTTCATTCGTCACATCTTGGAATAAACAAAATGAAGAGTGTTGCTAGGGGTTGCATCTGGTGGCCCAATATCGACAAAGATGTGGAATCACACGCCGGGCAATGCGAATCATGTGCGGTGGAGCAACCGTCACCTGCGTTGGCTAAGCTGATTCCATGGAACGTTCCAGACAGGCCGTGGTCTAGAGTACATGTCGACTTCGCTGGCCCCATCAATGGCTTTTGGTTCTTGATAATAATTGATGCGTTGACAAAGTGGCCGGAAGTGTTTTACATGAAGTGCATAACGGCTGATTACACTATTGAAAAGCTTATGGAATGTATGGCGAGATTCGGTTTAATGGATGAGTTAGTCAGCGACAATGGCACACAATTCACTGCCGATAAGTTTCGAAAATTCCTGAAGGCCAATGGGATTAAACAAACGCTCACAGCACCTGGTCACCCAGCAACAAACGGAGCAGCTGAAAATTTCGTTAAAACCTTCAAAATGTCATTGAAGAAGACGTTTCGAAGCAAGACAGGACTACAGTTACCGGAAATAATCTCGAACTTTTTGATGGGCTACCGTAAATCAAAACATTGCTCTTCGGAAGTATCACCAGCGGTTGCTATGATCAACAGGGATATTAAGACAAGGCTCGACATAGCACGTCCCATCATCCCTACGCTTGCAGTGGAGAACTGTGACATTAAGAGAAGCCTGGTAAAGCATCAAACGAAACAGGTTGAACAACACAGGGGGAATCGGGAAGCATCTTTCGGCGTAGGAGAGCCAGTATTAGTGCGGGATTATTCAGATCCTAACAAGGCTTCATGGAGCAAGGCAACAGTTCTGCAAAAAACAGGCGAGAGGAATTATCTGGTAAAGCTGACCACTTCGGGTAGAACAATCAAGCGCCACACAAATCAAATTGTCAAGGTCAAGGCATCGACATCGGAGGACACTGAGCAGATTTCGAGAAGAGTAGAGAACAAAGGAGAGGAGATTTCGGAAACACGACAAGGCGGTCAACAGAACCGTGCACCGGCGTGCGACAACGTGTCATTCAAAACCGTATTGAGTGATTGTAGTAATCGATGTAATAATTCAGTTTCCGAGATTGTCAGGGCAGAGGAAGAAGAAGAGGAAGTATTAGGGTTTGGTGAAGGAAATTGGCTTGTTAAACCAGAAACTCGTCGTAACAGGAAACGGAAACAAATATTTGATCTCGGCTTGTTGGGAAAACCTTTGAAAAAAAAAGTTTAAAGGACCAGTTTTTGACTCACGTATATTATCTCGTTTACAGAAATCACTCTGTAGAAGTTCATCGAAGCAGAGCATTGAGGTTCCTGGAACTCCGATGCAGTAGAAGACTGTAAGCCTGAGGATCATTTAGCTTGTTGTAGGGGTGTTCAGTACCGGGTAGTCGAAACTGGTCAACCTTTAATGTATCATCTTGTTCGCTCAATAAAATCAGTTTTGTCTCAGCAGTCAACCCACACGCGTGTTTATTACAAATATGTAATAAAATTCAGCTCACATGAGGAAATCTTCCACGCCGCGGAGGAGTATTTAGCAGACCTTCCGGAAAATTACGTTGCGGACGGGATCATGAAGTTAAAAAATCGCTGGGTGTATCGAGCTAAAAAAGTACTAGGGAAGAGCGCTACTTCGTCGTAATCGCCCATTTCCGTTCTATCGAGCAGATATGATCAATAATATCAATGATTTCACAATGCACAAAACAATAATACGTTTGTTCCGATGGGTTAGTTCATTAGCTACAACATAAATCCTATTAGAGCGCATTGTATGCATATTTACGCTCATTGTTCTCAAAACAAAAGAAGCGCTCCTAGCGCATCCCCTTTTTCTCCGTTTATCCGTAGGACGAAAAAAATCTAATGGCGTTTCAATGCGTTTGGACGGAATTGAAACGCGTAGGACGAATTTAGAAGCATGAAGCAGTGTTAGATTTTTAATAATATCTCAACATTGTTTGACTCTTTATCAAATCCAACGGTACGTATGGAAAGGTGGATAAATTTAGAAGTTATCTTTGATGAAAACATTCCATGTTTTGTTCAAACCCTTTCCAAAAAGCGTGGTAAAGTGCGGGATGTCCTTAGTAGGACGGAAATTAGATGAAAAAACCCTATATTGAATAAAATTTTAAAAATCATTTAAACAAATTCATTCCCAAGGAGGTTACTTTTCACCCCACTAGTATATTCGTTTTTAGTTAGGTAACACAGTAGAAACAAACAATCGTAAAACGCTGTCCAGACTGGAGAGTTATAACATGTTATAACGGTTGTCAACTAATTGCAACACAGAAACCACCATCAAGACAGCGCTATAACATGTTATAACTCTGTAGTCTGAACGTACTATAAGACAATTTAAACAGAAAGTAATTCAGCTTGTACCTACAAAGCTATACCCATCAAATTCTCTGTAGCATCGATGGAGGCGCATCGTCATTGACTCATTTAAATACACCTAGCCTTTCAGTTTGTTCTCCATTTTTCACCAAAGGTGAAATCACTGAAGCTTTTCGCACCTACCACAAAAAGCTCATCGTTCGCAACATTGCGTACAACTTCCAACCGAGGGAGCATCTACCACCCACCCTTCCAAAACAACCCCTATTGCACGAACGAAAACTGTCACCCAGAGCAAAATATGTAGTCATATGATGTGCCACACACTACCACATACCACCGTTTGCCTGTCAGTTTTCGTCGCTCATAATCGTGTTACGTCTACGGCGGTGGCAAATCAACTCGTGACTCTGGTGCGATCGGTTCTTCAACACCATCCGTCGCCGCAGTAAGGGCAGCAGTAGCAGGTAGCAGCAGCAGCAGCTAGAGCTTGATTTTCATTTTACTTCTATCCGATCCCGATTCCGGTCCGCGGCACCAGCGATGGCAAGCAACACCCAGGGAATCCAGCAGCTGCTGGCCGCTGAGAAGAAGGCCGCCGAAAAGGTCGGAGAAGCCCGCAAGCGTAAGTATTTCTCGGCTCAAGAGGTGTTCCTAGCCTATGCGCGTAGAGTGAAAATACACGGTAGTCACATGACCCCCTCTGTATCAGTAGTCCAGTGCTCAGCTGGTGTTTTTTTCCTTCTGCAAAGTGAATAAGAATGAGCGTTGGATTTTCAAAATTGTGGCATCCCTAACTCAATTGGGTGTTTGTTTTTACAATGATTTTCCAGGCAAGGCCCGTCGTCTAAAGCAGGCCAAGGATGAAGCTACCGACGAGATCGAGAAGTACCGTGGCGAACGCGAGAAGCAGTTCAAGGATTTCGAAGCCAAGGTAGGTTGATTTTTTGAACGTAAAAACTTACGTATCACAAGAAGGAAGTCCAATTCTGGGCAGATAATTAAGTAATCCGGGAAAATTTACTAAACAGTTAATGCTAAATCGAAAAATCTTTACTTTACAAATCTTTCGGCACGTGATCTTGTGTGGAAAGACTGCAGATAACAAAATATTCTTAAATTCGTAGGTTTCAACTAACAATTTGGTGGAATGTTAATGAAGGGTTATAATGAAGATTTAAATTCAAGTGTAACCTGGAGGCAAATTAATTTTCACAGTGATTGATTAGCCATGATTGACAATAACGAAATCAAACCTCAAACATGATAAATAGAGGATACGGGACCACAAACCACGTAGATAGTTTTTTTTTAAAGAGATTTTAAATGTAATGCATCTCTCAAAGTTATTTGTGAATGTTGAAAATTTTGTGATTGAATGTAATGCATTATCAATAATTCAATTGCATAATCGGTTCATGTCAAACAAGGACCCTAATTGTGATTGTAAAATCCACCATCTCAGCGGCCATTTGTGAATTATATCAATCTTGTCCCAGAGCTTTCTACAAGAACTGAAAATTGATGTACTCGTTTGAAGCAAATAAGAGGCTACACACATGCTTACCTATAAATACGTATACGTACAGTAAATACCACCCACAACATTTCTTATTGAGTCAAATCATGTTCAAATTCTTTCTTTTCGCCCCCTTTCCGTAGCACATTGGCTCGCGCGAGGGTGTCTCCAAAAAGATCGACGCCGACACTCGGGTACGTATCGACGAGATGAACCGGGCCCTCACCACCCAGAAGGAGTTTGTCATCAAGGACGTGATGCAGTACGTGTACGCCATCAAGCTGGAACTGCACAAAAACTACCGTCAGTAAAAAAAAGGCTCCACCGGACATTAAAAAAAAACTGCCGCTTCTGGCCTGGCCTGGCAAGATCGGTTGATTTTCATTCATTTGCAACCACACCGGGGTTTATAATTTTCTGTGAACTTGGTAACTTTCTACAATGTACCACCACCACATTCCCTGGCACTAGGAACAGTTGTACAGTACTTTTCTCGCTCGTTATGTTTATGGATTTGTTTTTTTTTTTTTTTAATTTTGAAATGTTTTGAAGAAGGTAATGTAAAATTGCTGGAAGAGATGCGATGTGGTGTCACGGCGACGTCATGTCCTATTTTTAGTATTAAAGTAATCTAAGATCATGTAAGAAGGAAACGCTCTAGGTTAAGTGAAATAAAGTAAGGAAAACCAAAAACGTTTGACTTTTTCTCTTATCTGCAAGCATCATAGCCTCCGGCAGGTGTTATCTTTGTTTGATAAAGCAATCTATTGTAGATAACAGCACGGCTTGTCCGTAGACCTAAGACAGTAGTAGAGGGTGATTTGCTGCCGCAAATGTTCTGTTTCTTTACATTCTGAAAAGGTAAGCAGTTGTTTTCATTCGCTTCTCCACGTCTTAGCTTCTTTTAATTAAACTGTCCCATCCTTACTAATTGTTATTTTTTACCTATTACGCAGCAACTGGCCATTTTCACCTACTCTCAACTTGAGAATTTTTATCTTTATTTAAGCCAATTCAAAACTTTTCCACAAGGGACGGGACAAAAAGTTTACCCCTAAAAACTCCTTTACTAACCAGACCGGGAATCGAACCTGACCCACCGCCTCCATCATGGTATCGGGAGGCTCTAACTTCTTTTAACCACAAGTCTATTGCTACAACACGCACATTATTTACAGGTGCACAATTCTTCATCATCATTTCAAAAGGGTGAAAATGCTTACGTAAATACAGCTTTCCTCCGAAGAACGCGTTACCCGCTGAGTTGCACCCACCGCTTTGTCTAGGTGGGTTTTCAACCAAGCGCTCTGATTTTCTACGAGTGACTAGTTCTCCATTGACCCTACTCACATGCAAAAATCAGACCGGGGGGGGTGCAACTCAGTGGGTAACGCGTTTTTCGGGGGATAGCTGTAATGGCTTTAGTCGTCGGCTTCTCGCGAATAAAAGCTCACACATGCAAAGTAGTGACACCGTCACGAAGAGGAATGTTTCCACTACCAACTGACTGAGCTGAGCGTTAATTTGCAGGAGTGAGCAATTATTTGCGAGAAATTGACGGTTGAATTCATTGTTTACAAAAACAGTTTCGTCCTAATGAAATGTTGGCACCGAATTGTACCTTGGTATATATGAGCAATAGTAAAAATGAAAAATTTAAAACGATCTCACCAACTTTCGCTGTTTCTTCACCCTTCTGTCCAATTTTCGTGCCTATTTTTAAACTCGTTGTTCTTCTATGCATCACTGCTAGTCGCTACTAGTCTTCCGAAAGTCTCCTATGTTATTTCTGATGTGTTCTACGATATTTTGACGTACATTATTTTTGTATGATTATGTTGAATTCCTAGTTGCGTCTAATAAAACCGTAAAACCAATGCTGAAAATGGACATTGTCTCAGGGTATTTTCTTAACGAGCATCACTCCATTATCGTATCGCATGTGCTCCATTTTGCAGCTCTGCTTTCACTTTCACTTTGTTGATCAGGGATGTTGCATTTTTCTTAAGTAGAGATCACCCTCCAGCAATCGATAGGATTCCACAGAAATCCGATCGGGACACGGACTCGGGACTTCCGAAATCGGGGATAATGATTCAACATTATAAAAACAGTCCATTTCAGCCTCTAATAAGCTATAGCTATAGATTATCCGTAACTATATGAAGAAATGAGCGGATAATAATCATCAAGTCAATGATTGACCGATGGCTATAGAAAGATATTTCATTCTAATTTGGTAGTCATTCCATATACGCACTGCCAAATCAGAGAGATCCAGCCTACAGACAGCGGTTAATTCTTGCAGGACGAGTCTAGGAGGCACGATAATGAAGGTTGATCGAATGATTGCTGAGCAGATGTGGGATATTTCATCGGAATATGCTTTGTTCTTCCCGTTATGCCACTCAACAAGTTCATATATGGCTATGAAGACAGTTACGAAGAAAAAGCTGGTTATGTATAAAAGTATGCTACTGGATTGTACATATATTTTGTGTGTATGCAAGAACTAGCGCTAATTGGATACAATCAATTCCCGTATTCCACCTAATATGCACCGGTTCCCATTCACTAAGTATATTAAGACATCAAATGACCAAATGCGTGCTTCGTGGGTGGCGTAGTTGGAATCCTCGCGATCTTCATCCTACTGGTCATATTCGCAGTGATCCTAAATCCATGTATTCTCACGAGGAGGTCACCACTCGTTCCGACCCATTCCGCCGGTAATGGGTTGTCGGCTGCAATATCCGATGTATTCCTTGACGGCCCAGTCATATCAAAGCAGGATCTAACGTCTCCAGGTAGTTGGTAGTCATGAAGACAATTCTCGCCTCCGTCGACGCCTCTTAGTTCATTTAACAAACCACTAAACTTGACCTGATTCAAGCCCTCGAATGCTGCCTTTTATCGCAACTGTGGATGGAAGGTGTCTTATGCCCAATCTACAAAAAGGCGACAAGTTGGATTGCTGCAACTACCGCGCGATCACACTGCTGAGCGCCGCCTACAAGGTACTCTCCCAAATTCTATTGGCGTTGACGGCACTGTCGAAAAATTGTCCCTTATAGAAAAGATTGACAGTTTCTTATGGGATTTTTCGGTGGAGTGAAAGGATAATACGAAGTCCGCCATGTTTCACGCACAGTCTGAAGTTTGCTTATGCTGTTTTAAGCCATCGATAGAATAGAGTTTAAGCTTGTTATAGATACGTAAAAAAAGGAGATTTTAATTCTAGTAATAAACTGTATTTGATTTTGCGTTGCAAGTGAGAAATGCTCGCTGCACATCTCGGATTTTAAGTGTATAAATTCATTGGTTTTTAAATCAAATGAAAAGATTTATCTGCTCTTTGCATGTCTACAGTAAACTATGATCATAATCTATCAACTACTTTAAAGAAAACTAAATTTCAACAACTGAGTGAAAAGTTATTAACAAATGAGCAGTTGGTGTGTACAACTGTGCATGCCAAGCAACACATCAAAGACCAAATACATGAAAGGAAGAGGTTCTAGGGAAGACAATGTTAGCCTCCCATCCCGAGTTCAGATTGACGGTGACGAAATCGAGATGGTCGATGAATTCATGTATTTGGGCTCACTGGTGACCGCCAAAAATGATATCAGCAGAGAAATTCAAAGACGCATTATGGCAGGGAATCGTGCCTACTTTGGACTCCGGAGGACGCTCCGGTCGAGCGGTCGAGGCTCCGGTCGAATAAGTAGTTGACTGTCTTCAAGACGCTGATTAGAGCGGTGGTCCTCTACGGCCACGAGACCTGGACTATGCTCGTGGAGGACCAACGCGCCCTTGGTGTTTTCGAACGGAAGGTGTTGCGTACCATCTACGGTGGAGTGCAGATGGATGACGGAACGTGGAGGAGGCGAATGAACCACGAATTGCACCAGCTGCTGGGAGAACCATCCATCGTCCACATTGCAAAAATTGGGCGATTACGGTGGGCTGAAATCAGCTGTTATACATGTAGTCGTTGCCAGAAAACTTTATTTTTCACTCAACGTTTTGACAACTATGTTGCGGAAACTCAAAAACTATAGTCGCTATATTCATAGTCTGGCGGAGAGAATCTCGGGAACCAATTGTTGGTCTACACTATATTGAATTGGTTCCGCTTTTTGATAAATCGAAATTCTATCTGCCAGACTATTAATATAGCGACTATACCAAAAACTACGAGCGGGATGTGCAGCCAAATCGGCCTACTGAAAATCCATCATTGAGATGTAAGTGTAAGGCTCATTGAGCTTGTCATCTCTTTCGTTCTCCCGATGTTTAAACGGTTGAAGGAATGTGACGTCAAACTTCGTCATCCATTTAATCAGTTGGAGAACGAAAGAGACGACAAATTTACTAGGCCTCACCTGTTTACGCTCTTTGATTTTCTCTAAAATATGTTCCAGTTAGTATTTGGCCGCTTCTTTTTAATTACTGTAGCGCCTCTACTTGTCGTAGCAAGAAACTATTGATAGCGTTTTAATCCGGAAGGATTGTTTATTTCATCAGGATTTATATACTTGTTCAAAAGTTATCAAAGATGGAACGTGACAGACGTGAAAAAATTCTGCACACTCACATTTTGATAGACGATGAAACTTTCGTAAAAATGGACTTTGGGAAAATCCCGGGCCAAAAATTTTACTATGCTAAACGTAAGGGGGATGCTCCGGATAAATTCAAATTTGTCTTTGCAGATAAATTTGTTCGCATGTTGATGATTTGGCAAGGCATCTGCAGCTGTGGAAAGAAAACAAAGGTTTTCATCACTGGAGCGACTATGAATGGACAACTTTACAAGGACCAGTGTCTCCAGAACATAATTTTGCCGTTCATTCAATCACACGAAGGGCCCGTAAAGTTCTGGCCTGACTTAGTCAGCTGCCATTACAGCCGCGATGTCATAGAATGGTATAAGCAGAATAATGTCGATTTTATTGAGTAAAGTATCAATCCACCAAATTGTCCAGATTTTCGTCCCATTGAAAAATTTTGGGCTATTAAAGCGCAAATTGAAAAAATGTGGCATCAAAACACCATCTGATTTGGAGAAATGGTGGAAAAGTATGGTACACACCAAATTGAAATCGCTGAAAATCAGCAAAATTTTGCGGATTTTAGACTTGATGAAAGATCAGCAAACTTTCCAGCAAAATATTGCTCCTGAATTTTCCAGCAATTCCATCTTCTGTCAAAACGAAAATATTTTACTGAAAATCAGCAAATATTTCAGCTATATTTCTTTACTGATTTTCAGCAATAAAGAATTTTGACATTTTGCTGATTAAACTATTAAACTCAGTAAATCGAAAAAATTTTCACTACACACAAAAAATAATCACTACTAAAATTTAAAAAAATCATTGGTAGAATTAAAAGTTTTCGTTGGTTCTTTTTGGTAGGAAGTCTGAAGCATTCAAAATAAAAATGAGTAACTTGTCAAATCAAAAGTTTACCTCTTCGTTAATTTTAAAAGTTGATGCTTTTGAATCAAATTGTAGAACTGTCAAAAGGAAAACCAATGCTTTCAAAATGAAGTGCTAACTGTTTCAGTTCGAAAAGAGCTGTTTTTATTATGACAATATATTTTTATATTAAATTTTAAATATTATCATATTAATGATTTTCAAGATTAAGAAAAGTAGCCAAACTAATGTTTGGATCATTTTTAA